CCTTTTTTTATTATTTAATCATCTTTAAATACTTTCTGGTTTTAAAGGTGGCTAGAAAAATGTTAGAGGATTTTATAATGTTAATAGATTTCTGATCTGTTTATTGGCGTCAATTCTTTAACGACGATATTTCCAACCCTCGTACCTGCTTTTTATTATTTAATCATCTTTAAATACTTTCTGGTTTTAAAGGTGGCTAGAAAAATGTTAGAGGACTTTGATTATCCACAAGATAAGAACGAAGAATTGGAAAATATTCGAAGGAACTGGGAATGTCGTTTCTAAGATATAAATCTATTGAGCTTGTTTCTATTCTGCCACGTTCTAAATCTATAGAAAACATCTTTTAATTTCATGGAAACCAAGAAAACCGTGAATAACATGGTTCATACTATTCCAGTAATGGTTCGAACGTGTTGATAATTTGACGACCCCAACAATGTTAAGCGGTTTCAAACACGTCACGGTGTGTCCTGTTTCCGAAAGTTTTGATTGGTAATTACAGAGCTCGGTAAACAGGTTCGAAAATTTTTCTGCCACGAAAATGAAAAGCGACGTTCGACTAGGTGATCCGCGTCCAGTTTTTGCCGGGCTTGTTTGGCTGACTTCGACGCCGGCAAAAAGATCGTTAGCGGAATCTAGGAATGGTATATCGGCGCGGCTTATCGATTCTAATTTACCGGAAAGTCATTATCGCGGAAAAAGTGGTTGCTCGGTTCGATATTATTAGATTCCGGGTGAAATATTAATTATTAACAATCGAACCGCGCGTTCTTACAATGTGTTCCATTTTCGTTGAGTATCTCGTGAAAGCCTGAATCTCACTGTTACAGTCAATAATTCGGAACGGGAAAACTGGAAATTTGATAATTTCGTTTCTAAGAGAAATTTCTTTCGTTTTACGTAATCGAATCTGTGGAAATATGAGTTAATTACTCTGAGTTGTAATATTATTGCATAATTGAGCAACGACAGAATCAACGATGATGCAGTGTTTCGGGCAAGTAGAAATAATTTTCAATGGACGGACGCACACTGGCCAAGTCACGTTCAACTGCAAGCGTACTGACAAATTTTCAAAATTGGCTATTTCATTGTGAAAGTGTTCTATAGGGGAATTTCATTTGGCTTTCCAGTTTATTCTCGTGTAATCTACCGTTTCATTTAAAAATACCGTTACAGTCGACTAAAATTTTTAAAAACGTTTAAAAGGGAGTTTCGTAAAATTTAAATGATTCTCCACTGTATTTTTCTATTTTACAAATTACCACAGTTTATACGAATTCTTTAGAAATAGTTACGATTCACTTCTAAATTATTATTCAGAGTATATAACACGAACTATCATTCTATCTGTAAACAAAAGAGAAAGAAGTGGGCGTAAGAAGATTTTGTATAATTTAGTGAGAAAAATGTTTCGAGTGTCTAAAACTGTATGCAGTTTAACTTCTGGATAGAGTAAAATATTTTCAGATTTAAAGCGATCCGTTTTATGAAATGATGCTGTTAAAGGAATTAAGTAAAGCCGCACATGGTTGCATGCAATGCATGAAACACCACAGACGCGTGCTGCATTGATATATGGATGCATTTTTTCGGGAAATATAGGTGCGCCGGGATACACCTCGCAAATCCGTTCACATATAAACTTTCTCTACCTTTACGTAAACAAGAGTTACAGCTTGACCCAGTTTTCAGTATCAGCCGGCGCGCGGCAGAAGGAATTTTTGATTTTTGAAAATTGGCTTCGTTTTATTATATTTCTCGGCGTTCAAGCTCCCCGCAACGCTCTCATCCTCTCCGGCATCACGTCCAAGATGGATGTTATCTTATCATCTCGGACATTTATCATGGGGAACGTGCCGTATTTTGTTGTATATGCACAGAGTGGTCCGTTATTGATAGTAGAAACGAGCAGAACGTGATTCTTTGCGTAGGAGTCAATGAAAAATATCGAACTGCATTTTTGTTTAGCCAACACTTGTATTTCGAGGGGATGAAACTTTAATCCTCAGCGGCCGAGGACTTTTCAGAGTATTAAAAGCTTTTTCTATGGAAAGTTGAATTTTATGTTGAACCATTAAACACTCCGAGAGCGAAAAAATATTGATCTTTGGTTGTTTAAATGATTAAATTTATTTGTTGGCAAATTTCGACACTTGATTCCTCAAAGGATTAATCGTATTTATTGACTCGTTTGATGCATCTGTCTATTGTCGCCGGTTTCGATTTGCCGCGTACGATTATGTGAAAAATATGAGGCAAAATTTTACTATTTGAAGCCATATTTCTGTAATAATTAATCAAAAATATTTGTCGCCTGTACAGTTTACTGAATAATTAAAAAATATGGGAAACAACTTTTTTTATCGGGTACTCCATTTTTGGAAAAAAGAGGCTTCGCACATGTTCTCTTGGCAGTTAGTTAATCACAAGGGCGCTCGACGAAATTTCTCGTTTGAATTTTTTCACTCCGAAATACAATCGCAGATGAAAAATTTTACTGCATATTGTTGATTAATTTTTTCACATAGAATTGCCCTTTTTCATTTGTATCACTAATATATACGCACGATTCTGTGCTTTCGATTTACTTCTTCACAAATCATTACTTTTTTCTTAAAAATACATCCCACAGAAATTCAAAAAATTAACGCAGACATTAATGAATTAAAATGTTTCTAATAAGTTTTTATTCTTAGACGAATGCATTGCGTCATAACATAAATAATTTCGGGTGTATTCTACTTTTTTTCTATATTAACTTCATGTAACAATAAAATACCAATATTTCGTTTCTAAATAACTTACTATCATTCTTTCAATAAGTTATAATTAAATCTTCAATAAGTTGTAATTCAATTCGTACAGTTTTTATACTCACAGTTGGACATATTTACGTGATCACTGAATATTAGAACAATCTGTTCGAACGATTTGTTCACCCCTTTATACTGGCCGCCCGCATTAAGTCAGCAGAGCGTGGAATAATGGCGGATTTTCGTGTGTTCGGCTCGGTTCCGAAATCTCCTTCGATTAGGATCGCGGGTAGCGCTCTTTGTCGTGGACAAATCGTAACGATTTGTCGGCGAATTTGTTAACATTCAAGGATGTAAGTTATGTTCCGTTGAATACATAGGGGCGGGCCGATATTTACATGGGATTGTTAATGTTTACTGCGTTGCGTGCGCGCCGTTATTGCTGAAATGACGTGAATAATTGGCCGAGTAATGCGCGTGCTGAGCTGCATCCAAATTGTTCGACGATAATAATTCTTGCGAAATGAGATAAAGTCGAAATTGCTCCGCCAATGAATGTGCGAGTTAAAGCGGTCGGATTCGATTCGCGACGGATTTACTGGCACACGCGGCAACAACGTGAAATATAATAACCGTCGAAGAACGTGCGATAAGATTTCTTGTTCGAAAATCGTGGAACTTTGTCGTACCGTCGAAGTTCCACGAACGAAAATTGGCTAAAACGTGTGTCACGGTGTAGTCGTAAAACAAAAGATAAATGTACAATTATAAATCAGGATACACATTTAATCTCAGCCCGGTAATAAATTAATAAGTTTCTGTATGTAGATTAAATTATTTCATGTGCACTTAGGTTTTAAATCAGTTTCGTTAAAATAGGGTGAGATCTCTCAGGTTTATGTAACTAATCCCAGTCCATTGTACTGTTAAATTTAGATTTCTAAAGAATAATTTTTGGAACCTCAACTGGCGCTCAAGAAAGAAATGGAATAATTCCTTCATTAAGAAAATAGTTTCTAATCCGATCGCAAATGAAATAAAGTTCTCTTATCAATTCAATTATCATTACTCCATAAATACTAGAATATAAAAACAATT